TATCTATCTATCTATCTATCTATCTATCTATCTATCTATCTATCTATCTATCTATCTATCTATCTCCTGTCCCTCCCTTCCTTCCTCCCTCCCTCCTTCTCTCTCTCTCTCTCTTTTTCTTCCTCTTCTCCCCTTCCTTTCCCCTCTTCCGAACCTTGCCACCCGGGCTTGGCTTCCGCGTGGAGGCTTGGAACAGAAGATGGAGAGCCGCGTTACCTGAGAATGATCACTATCATTAACATTCACCGGGGGGGTGGGGAGCAGCGTGGGGGGGGGTTCACTCATCACTCCTGACGGCAGAGACATGGCAGCCGCTATGAAGTGTCCACAGGTGTAGCCCGATGATACATATTACATTGTGCCACAATGGATTTATGTATTCGGTAACAAAAGAAAAGGGTAATGAAAAAATACAGACGGTAATCCTTTATTCCCCTACCACACAATTTATCAGGAACGCCGGCGGATGATAAGTGCCAGGGATTTTACTCTGCTTGATTTAACCTTGTCACCCAGGTATGTTTTCGTGAAATGATGGGGAGGAAAGAGAGTTAGGAGGCAAGCCAGATATTTTTTATAAGGGGGGGGCGGATGGGAGGGGTGACGACGGTCATGTTCTCCTGCACTAATTACTTCTTAACATCCCCCACCCCTTCCCCAAAATACCGTCCTTTCCCAATGACTTGGCTCCATCGCACTCGGGGTACCGGTGATCCCCGACTTAACGACCACAATTTGGGAGCAGAATTTCCATGGATGAGCAACGCCGTTGCTGAGTGAGTTGCTCCTGATCTTATGATGCTTTTTTGCCCAAAGTTGTTAAGTCACTGCCATTCTTACGTGCTTCACGCCACCATTAAGCAAATCCGGCTTTCCCTCCCCATTGAATTTGCTTGTCGGAAGCTGGCTCACCAAGCTCAGAGAGCACCAAGGATGCTACCCTCCTCCTCCTCCTCTTCCTCCTCCTCCTTCTTCTCCCCCACCCCCAATACCCTACTTCCTTCTAGCACTGATGCTGTTCCCTATTTGGGTTATGAAATGTCTACAAAGAAACAACCAAGCTCAGAGAGCACCAAGGACCTCACAATCTCCTCCTCCTCCTCCTCCTCTTCTCCATAAACACCTCCCTTCTAGCACTGACGACATACCCCAGTTGAGTCATCAAACCTCTGCAAAGAAAACAACACCCCTCAGTCGAGGTGAAGGATCCCACCATTCAACCCTGAGCCATAAACCTTCCCTTCTATCGATCGGTCTAAATCGGGTGAAATCCAGCAGGTTCTGGAGAACCGGTAGCGGAAATTGTGAGTCGTTCGGAAAACCGGCAAATATCACCTCTGGCTGGCCCCAGAGCGGGGTGGGAATGGAGGTTTTGCAATATCCTTCCCCCAGGAGTGGAGAGGGAATGGGGATTTCGCAGTATCCTTCCCCCAGGAGTGGGGAGGGAATGGGGATTTTGCAGTATCCTTCCCCCAGGAGTGGGGAGGGAATGGGGATTTCTCAGTATCCTTCCCCTGGAGTGAGGAGGGAATGGAGATGTTGCAGTATCCTTCCCCTGCCACATCCACCAAGCCACATCCACAAAATCAGTATTAAAATAATTTGGATTTCAACCCTGGTCTATATGTCGTCATCACCGTTGGAGGCCGCCCAACGTTTGGGAGATTCCTTCTTCCCCCAGTGTGGCGGGGGAGAGGGGGGCTCTCCTTGAAACGTCAAGGTGGTAGAAAAAGGTACCAAGTGAAGAGATGCCTTCGGAAAGGGTTCCAGCTACGCCAATCGACGGCGATTCCAGCCACAGGAGACCCATAAGTCACCTACACGTTCCCCAGGCATTCGCCCAGAACCCAAATGTTCTGCCGTCATTTTTCCTGAAGGCCACCTCCTCCTCTCCTCTCCTCTCCTCTCCTCTCCTCTCCTCTGC